GCTCATGATCTGCTTTGAATGTATATGTCACTCAAATATGAACGGAACGGGGACGTGTCATTGACAATGACTTGTTAATTTTGGGTTAAAATCTGTTCATATTAATTCTCTAATTAGCATAATAATTAATATTTTTTTGGTTCTAATCACATTTCAATGAAACTTGGTACATTGTGCAGACCTTATTAGTTTTACACTTAAATCTGTTCATATTAGTTACCTTATTTGCATAATTAGTTTTCTGCGTTTCCATCAACATCTCCAATACTCTCAGCACACGGGAGTTCTTTCTAAGCTTTCTTTGATTATTATTTTGTATGTTGATGTTGATTTAATTTATCGGATTTTACTTTTATATTACATTAAAACTGTGGCTCACAATTATATTTTAAATTTGCTTGCATTTACGCAAGATTATAAAAAAAATTATGTTGTAGTGTACAAAGTATTATCACTTTATTCCATATAGGCACAGATGCAGAGAACAAACACAGCTTCATTGAGTCTCATAACTCAATGCTTTAAATGCATTTTATCACTTTATTCCATATAGGCACAGATGCAGAGAACAAACACAGCTTTATTGAGTCACATAACTTACAACTGACATGCAAAATCCTTTAAATGCATCTATTTGCGTTATTCCATTTATAAACACAGATGCAGAGAACAGACACAGCTTTATAGAGCCACTCATATTATTAGTAATAGTAAATTCATGTGCTGGGCTTCTGCTAATTCTTAACAAGTCATCATTGGCGAATTGAATTTAGATTTGGTGACATAAAAATTGTCATTTTTGCCAGCCATCGCTAAAAACTTAATTTCAAACCTTGAAGAAAATAGCCATCATTTAAGGTTGGCTACCATTAAAACAAATATTATTAGAATATTTTGCTTGTAAACTATGACCTGTAAGTTATTTGCAAAATTTGTGGTTCAGAAGTTGTTTTCATCAAGCCAAATATAACCAAATGTTTATGTAAATTGGCTGTTATTGAGTTTGCAGCATCTTATGTCATCAAGTCCATTGAATTCAAAACTGACAAGATTTTATGTTGTCCAGATAAAAAATAATATCAGACATGCACAGACACTAGTGAATAATTTCAGTTCATGGCTCATTTCACTACATATTATAAAAGACTTTAAAATAAGCATGTAATACAACTTTAGTAAATTTGTCATACATTATGTGTGATATATTTTAATCTTATGCATCTTGTTTCAGAATCTTCTGATCTTTTGGAAAACTTGTGTTGTTTAGTATCCGCACAAAATTTTTGTTTTCCAAATTGTTTCTAAATTATATTTTGAATCGTTTCGCGAACAATGCCACGACTTATGATGTTTTTACCTAATTGATATTGTCAAAAGACTTTATTCTGGATATTATACAATGTACACCTCGCTACAAAAATTGTTTTATTCCAGTAAGGCAGTAAAGAATTCTGTATTCCAAGAGATCATTCAATTTTAAGATCAAATCTAATAAAAAATGAGAAAAAGGAATAGTTAAGGATATTATGGAAAGCATCCAAATGAATCTTTAGACCCACTTTAATGCACACTCATCTGATTGTTTACTGTTTTATATAGTTCACTCTCGGTGGCGAACCATTGAACCATGACAAGATACTTGAGAGAGACCAGAGTGTTGAGTCTGAGTTAGGAGATCGGAAAGATTCTGCTGTACTAGATAATGAACCAGGTGTCTCTGGTGTTCATTCTGTGGACGCCAAACCAGAAATAAAAGATATCAAGTCAGATACAGAGGAGGAAGAAAAGACAAAGGATGGTAGTGGCGAGGATGACAATGATGATAATAAAGTGGCGAAAGAGGATGATGATGATGTGGCAAAGAGGAAAGAGGCTGAACAGGAGGAAGCTAATGATGAACTTTTAGAATTAGAGAGCCTTGATGTTATGACACCACGTATAAAACATAAACGCAAGCACAGACGCAGACATAAGCGACATTATAAAGTTCCAGAGTATGTAGTGTTTTTACTTCTTCTGTGTAGGTGCTAGAAATCCTGAAAATAGTATCAGTGTTAAATTATTATTAAAGAAAAGTTGTTGCTACTGTAAACTCTGTATTAGAAGCTTTGGCTTTTATTGAAATAGTATTATGCAACACAGGGGATGTGGCTAATGGAGCATTTACACATATGAGAAATGGTAAAATTTGGGTTCTTAATTGTTCAGAAGGAATGGTTGCGACTTCTATTAGGAATGCAGCTTCTAAATTTAACACAGATGAACATAATTTAGTTTTCAAACTTGGCACAATGAAATTTGAGCACTGATAGACATCATTTTAGTATCACCGTCCATTAAAAGTACCATATGAATATTTTATCTGAAAAAGGTGCAATCCCACATGTCTCTGTGATGTAGTTTTTGATTGAATTCCCTAATCAAATTATTTCACTTAATAAACCTACATTTTCCCCATATGGAAAGTTGTCAATGTTGTCCTAAATCCGAATTATAGAAAACACAAAAAATTTGCAAAATGGTATGTATGCTATTTTGACCAAAATTTAATTGCAGCAAGGCAGATAGGTAGGGCATTGAGCAGTTGTCTTTGTGGCCTCTATGTATTTGTATTTATTTTTTATTTGTATTTATTTACACTAGATAATATAAATGAAATTGTACAATATTAAATTACATTATTCATATGTAAAGAGAAACAAATGTAGGTAGCAAATGTATTTCAAGCCATGCTTATGTTATGGCTCATGGACAGCCATTCTGTGTTTACAGACATGTACGTGTCAAAAGCAAAATTATGAATGAAATCATAAAATATTATTATGTTGTTTCAGAGTTGTACTCTCCCAAGAAGGAGAAATGCACGAGGATGGAAGAGACCCGGATGCGGAATTTTTAATTGCCAGTAAGTCTTTGTAATAAAAACAAATATTAAACACATGTACATTTGTACCTCAATGGCAGGAGACATGTTTTGTTATGCCTTTCTGATGTGACACATACATTGTTAGGAAACTTTTTTTCAGTCCCTGTTTGAAAGTTTAAGGAGAAATGATGGCATGGGAACAAAAAATAAATCTGGGAAGTTTTTTATGTTCTTTTTACAATTAGCCATTTGAATGTATAATATAAATAATAATAATACAGTTTTATTACATCGTAATGAAATTACAAATTCATTTTTGGCTGAACGTAATAAAAGGTAAAGTAAAAAGGTAAGTAAAAAACAGAACGTTAAAATAACATAAGATTAGGTAGTAAAAAATTAATGTAGTTTGTGTTTTTCAAAACACACTTTCAGATACCGTGTCACATGTCTAATTAGTTTAGGATTGTTAGTATTAATAATGACAATAAACTTGTTGATGTTGTTTTCAGACTGGAAAGTGGGAATTTCCTTAGTAAATTCAGCATACATAATATCCCTTTCATCAGTGTAATAGCTACAGTCTGTAATAAAATGAACTTAGTCTTCAATACTGTCGCTCCTACACTTATCACAAATCCTGTTCTGAAGTGGGATTTTAGGTCTCTCATGTCATATGTATATGGGTCACCTGCCTTGATTTTAAACTAGTTAATTCTGATTTCCTTGATATAACTCAAAGCATTACCACTATTGGGAAAAACTTGTTCAATTTCCATAGAAGCAAGTGTGGCTACTGTACCCAATTTTGGTACAATCTGCATACTAATTTCAATAAGCTCACTTTATCTATCCGTAAGGTTGATCTGTGATTCAGACATTCTCTAAAATATATTATATATTCTCTGAAAGCTTAGATATACCCGTAGGTGAATACAGTAATGCCTATGTTGAATACAATAATGCTTATGGCCATACTGGAGTTTGTTCAAGTGATCAACTGATAGCTAGCTGGCTTTTTTGTCTTTTCCAACTCTTGAAAACTCTAGTTTTGAACACTTTCAGTCTTGCACTATTAGTTTGATATCTCATATTGAGGTTGGTTTGGCCTAACTTGTTCCACCTGCGTAATGATCTACAGACACGCAGAGCAATCCAATCAACAACTTAGTTGGCAGTGTTGCTGTTTTGGTGTTTGAAGTGGTAGTGATAAGAAAAGGTGTGTTACACACAACTGACAACTTTAAAATAATGTTAAAATTGAAATGAAAAATTGTCTTGAATGCAAACAAAACACAACAAATTTCTCAACCAGGGCCAACACCAGAGGTTGATGGTGTAACCATCTCTTTACTAGAACGTGGGAATGTACATAAACACCTAATTCACATATCATTCTGACCTGAAATCAATCCAAGCAATTTGTTTGAAAAGGAAAAATTTACTAGTATACACAAAATATACAAATTGAATAAACTGAAGCTCCATGACTGAATCCTCTTTCTAGGCCATCGTTTGGAGAATGTACCTGGTATGCGTAGACACTTGATTCGTAGGGTCAGCTCTGTAATGCATCCAGGTAGAAGACGTGAACATTTATTTCCCCCTGAAGAAAAAGAACCTTTCAAATCAGCATTCAATTTTGGACTGAAACTAAAAAAGAAATATGATCATCAGCCTCATGAGGTAAGTAACAAATTAGTGTTGAGAAATTAACTTTTTTTCCTTGGTCTTTTTTTGCAGTCATTCACAACAGTGTGAATATAAAGAAATATTTCTTTAATTAGTTTTATTTTTGAAGAGAAACCAGTGTTATTCACATGGATTCATTTTAGTAGTCCTGATGTGCAAAATTGTCATGATTTGCTCGAAATAGCTGACTCAGAAATATAAACAACATGCAAACCTGTGTTTAGATTTGGAGACTGGTTTACATGTGCATTTGAGGTTGGCAACAAAAACATTGTCCAGAAATGTTTGCCTAGCACAAAAAATAAAAACAAAAAAAGGTTTGTATTTTCATAATGAGTTGCATTTATTTATAGTTTTATTTTATTTGCCAATAAAATCCTACAATTGTATCAGCCTAACGAATCAGTGCAGCCTAATTTTATATACTGGTAAAAATGCTCTTTATGATTACAGGTGTTTGTTGAGTTGGATGAGCTCTATAAAAACACAGATGGACAGATGGCATGGAAAGAGAAAGCAAGATGGATCAAGTTTGAAGAAGATGTAGAGGAAGGAGCTGATAGATGGGGAAAACCTCATGTGGCGTCAATGTCATTTCATAGTCTACTAGAACTTAGAAGAGGACTTGAACAAGGTTTGTCACTGATTGATTATCTATGATATTAAAGTCCGGGTAAGAGCCCAGAGTCCTAAACATGGAAATTGCCAAAAAAATAGTGGTGGGCCTATGCCCAGACATCCCCAGCGAAAACATGAAAATTCACGAAAGTTGACACCACGCAGATCAAACTGCGACAGGGGATAGAATGGCGAATAAAAATATGCAACAGAAATAAATGAACAATATGCAACACTAGAAGTAAAAAAAAAAAAAATAATGTATTGCATATAATGTGACAAATAGACCAGAAATAATAAAAATCAATAGAAATCAAGGAAGTCAACTCTTTATACAAGTCATTCTGTGTTGTATTCTAAGCTTTACTCTAAAGAATTTAGATATAGAATAGTTTTGAATGCAAGCTATGATAGCTTTACTGAATGTTATATTTGTACTGGACTCTGATCTATTCTATTCTATTTCCACTTCCACTTCCACTTCTACTTCCACTTTCACTGGGATTTGCTTGTACCTGAAAATGAATGACACAACACAACATGTGCTAAATAAAGTCACTCAGATGTACTCTATTCTGTTGTAGGTACTGTTTTACTTGATTTGGATGAGAGAGATATTTCTGGCATATCATATCAGATAGTGGAACAGATGATTGTATCAGATCAAATAAAAGAGGAGGAAAGAGGTGACGTATTGAGGGCATTGCTCATGCAGCATAGGTATGTGAATATTGGGGGATTCATGTGTAGTTGCATGTTGCATATAAGGCATGCGGTAAATGTATCACTTTTTATAATACATTAAATAAAATATTACACACTGTATTGGTTGTCAAGAATATTATCTTCCAAGTCATAGTTTTAATTTGGTAAGAATATGCTACGAAATAACAGACATAAACTCAGTGGCATTAAAAATTGTTTTTGTGTTTTTTTGACAGCAAGAATAACACTAGATATGTTATGTGTGTTTTCAATTCATGTTTAATACTCATTTATCTCATCTGTTTATTTTTAGTCATGTTACCCCAAAACAAACACAGTCTTCTCAAAAATGAGTTTTTGAAAATTTTGGGCCTAATGCCTAGGTTTGATAAGTTTTATTCTGGGTGCAGCTTTCAACATTTTTCTAGAAAAAGACTAACTTATTCTATTTTATACTAACTTTCATTACACTTGCTGACTTCTGCTTACTTTTTAGACATATAAAGGAAACGCCAGGTCTGTTTAGAACCCTTTCATCATCCAGTCTACCTTCACTCAAAATTTCAACTTCAGATTCTGCTAAGAATCTCGAAAAAAACTTCAGTTTTGGTCGACTACGAAATAACAAGTCACATTATGAAACAAAAATTGACATTGATGGAAAGATTGTGGTAAGTAATGTGTCAAATACTCTATGCATTCTGATGGCATTCCCTAATGAAACCTAATGAAAATGTGTTTACAATGCATTATAAATTTGTGTGGTATCAATGTGTACATTTGTTAAATGTATAAAACTTTGGCTAACTGCTAACAAAATACACTTTTGCCTAGTAATGTTTCAAACATATAGCGTGTCACATTGGCATGTAATGGAACCATTTTTTTTTTTTTTTTTTTCAACTTTTTATTAGTCTTTTAAAATTTTACATTACTGGAAAATACATGTCTCTGGCATTATATAGAGCTATAGTAACATATTTTGATCTACTACAATCCATGGTCAAAAAACAGAATTGTTAACACATAAACTTATGTTGTCAACTTTAAAAA